GCATTCTGTTCGGCGCATTCTGTTCAACAGAATGCTCCGACCCACCTGTGTTCTTCAATCCGTTGATTGAGATGCAGAACGATGACATCCGGCGCAACCGTGGCGATGAGGGTATCCGATGAAGCGCGGGCGATGCAAGACAGGGTCGGAAGGAGGTAGGCGTCTTGTCGAAGAGGACGATCGTGCGTCGTGGAGGAACGAAGACAGCCGCCGTGTCTTGAAGGGAGAGAGGCAAAGCAGCAGTGCGTGCTTTTGGGAAGGAAGGATTGATGTAAGAGTGAACGAGGGTGGGGACGGGACGCACAGGGCGGGGAAGGGAGCCCTTCCGCTGGCGGTGTTGTTCCATGATTTCGATAAAAGTCGGACCAGCCGCCACTACCACGTCACCGTACCCGCCCCACCACGTCGAAAGTGCCCGCCCGAGCCCGGCAGATTACGTACGCACTTCAGGTTCGTCGGGCATGTCTTGTTGCCCCGTTGTGCTCCCTGTATCTCAACTTTTGGGGTCGGAAACGAGACTGTGAACGGGACTGTCGCAGTACCCCTTCACTAGGAAGACGTCAAGACGTCATTCGACGGTTAACGGAAAAATGCTGCCGGACGCAAATAATTCCTTCCAACTTTACAAGTTCTGCCGGTCGGAAATTATTCGTCCCAAGATCATTAAACTCCGGGACGTGTGCGTGTGTGTGCATTGTCCCGGGCACGGCGGGCCACAGCAGTTAAAAGATTAGAAATGCAGAAGTTATGCCCCCCGGAAATTATTCTTTCGAAGGCAGTTCCAACTGCGGGGCGTGTGCGTGCAGTCCCGTACACCAAAGGACCACACTTGGAAGATTAACCCGTCACAAGTCCACTAATAAAAAGTTATGCCGGCCGGAAATTGTTCGTTCGAAAATTCGTTGCTTGTCTATCTTTCAATCTTTTCGATATTTTGTTAGGTAGGCATGGGTTCGTTGGGCCGTATTAACAACATAAAAATGGAAGTTGGGACTCTACGCCGTGTGTGTACATTTCTGAACTTCTGGGGGCGTGTGTGCGCATTGTACCGTCCGTGCGCTTTACCACACGCTGCAGGTCCTACGCAGGTTCTACGAACCGCACATCAATGCACCGTACGAACCTAACGGGACTGTTTTCTTAGTTCCGTAGAGAGGAGATGGATTTGTTGGGTCATGCTAACAAACTTGGAACTCTGGGGCGTTTACTTTACCACTCGCAGCAGGTTCTACGAAACGCACATCAATGCACCGCACGAACCTAACGGGACTGTGTAGAAAAACTGTGTAGAATTTAATAAATAATCCATACAAACTCAAGTGAATTAACAATTTCCGACTTTGGGCAGACGATTATATGCAACGACGAAGCAATGCAGTCCCCGCGCTTAAGCGCCTCTCTGGCCCCTCGTTCACCACCCTGCCCTCCACTACCAACGCACTTCTCGCCCCGCCCGCCACTGCCAGCCATCCGCCTCGCGTAGACTTATCATAGTTTTACCGTCGAGGTTATCGTTGGGTTACCGTTGAGGGTTACCGTTGAGGTAGCCTTGAGCACGATGCACGGGTGGGGCGCCATCTCCCACAACAAGTTCAAGCGCTTGCCGCCTTCCGCGCGCGCGCGCGCACAACTGCGCGTAATTTTTCCTCCCTTCACTTTTTTTTTTTTTATTTTCCTGCTCTCGTTTGATGCAGGGCATGATATGTAAGGAGTCGTCTTTCCAGCTCCTCAACTCGTGTGGGCTGTTGAGGGACCACTTCCCGTGCACGTCGTGCACAGAGAGCAACGGGTTTGAGCAGCCCTGCTACGTTGAGCTGGACGCTCCGGAGGACAACGTGAGAGAAGGCGTACTGCTGTTGGGAAAGGAGCGGGGTGGTGGTGGTGGTATGTAGCTGCTGGTTCTGTCGTTGTCGGCGTGTTCGTGGTTCTAGCTGCTTTGCTGCTGCTGCTGCTGCTGCTGCTGCTGCTGCTGCTTCTGCTGCTTCTGGGTTTGGACGCAGCAGCACTCTTTGTTTCCGCGTGGATAACGGTTACGTGATTCTAGTACCATTTTCCATCACCCTGACCGTGTCCGAAGAAGTAGAAGGCCGGAGCTGTTGCTTCCTTGCTGGTGCTGTGTGTAACTACCTGCTGTGCTGGCCACATTTTCTTGTTACAGCATTCGTGTATGGATTCGTGTGTTGATGAGTTGGATGCTCAGTAGGTGCGTTTGTGTTGGTGTTTTTTTTGCAAATAATAGTGGCAATTGTGCTCTGTTCGGCAAAGAAGGCGGTTCTCGGAGAGGGAGAGCCGGCTCCGCCCATGAACGATCGTATTATTGCCCCCCTATGCGAGGTCAATGGTCTACCGACTGGGCATTCATTTTGATGAGTACCCCCCCC